CAGCCTCAAGAACACAGGTAGGTCATTTAACCACTGAATTTGCTTATCTAGAGGGGGAGGTGATGATTTAACTAGAAACATCCATATACTTTGCCTAGCAGTGTGCTCCGCGTGCGCGCGCCGGTGGCTGAGCAAGTGCGAGCTGAGGCTGAAGGCCTCGCCGCACTCCGGGCACGGGTAGGGCTTCTCGCCGGTGTGCAGGCGCCGGTGCTTGAGCAGGTCGGCGCGCCAGCTGAAGCTCTTGCCGCAGTCCGCGCACAGGTTGGGCCGCTCGCCCGTGTGCAGCCGCAGGTGGTTGGTCAGGTAGGTGTTGCGGCTGAAGCCTTTGCCGCACTCCCCGCAGCGGAAGGGTTTCTCGCGGGGGGGCCGGGCCAGCGCGGGCCCCGCCCCGAAGCCGCCGGCCACGCCCATGCCCATCATCCCCACCACCCCACCGCACTCGGCCGCCAAGCCGAAGGGCTCCAGGCTGGCCACCGCGGCGGCCTCCGCCAGGCGGTGGATGCGCTGGTGCTGCAGAAAGGCGGCACCCGGACTGAAGCTCTCCCCGCAGTCCGGGCAGATGGTGGGCGCGTCCATGATGCTGGCCATCAGGCTGTCGAGTTCCCCGAGGTCCATGGCCATGGGGTGATGGAGCCGGTGGAAGCGGCGGTGGGCAGGTTTGTCACCTTGGTGTCGACCCCCCAGGGAAAGGTGACGCCTCCAGGGAAGCACCGGTGGAGGCAACTGCTCATCTTCCTCCATCAGCTGGTTCTCCCCAACGTTTTCCTCCTCTTTCTCTTCCTCCTCCTCCTCCTCGTCCTCCCCCTCCTCTTCTCCACGGGGACTCTGGGATATACTGTCAGATTCTGACAGACCTGGGAACAGTGCCATGTCAGCCACACCAGACTGGTTGTCCTCTTCCTCACGGAGGACAGCCCCTTCTTCCTCACTCAGCAGCCCCTCTGCAACAGACAAGTTGGCAACGGGGGTCAGTTAGACCTGGCGTGCAGAGGTATTCTAGGAGAACTGCCCTTCAAAGATTGTGAGCCAAAGAAGTAATGCTCGTTCGTCCCAGGTACTCCCCAAACCACTCCACCCCGGTTCCCTAGCCTCTTTATACTCCAGCCTCTTTCCCAGCGGTCTCCTCCAAGTAAGACCTAAAGGACAGTGCACTCTTCGAGGCTGCCAACCAGACTTTTGGCAGACCGCATCTACTATATACCCCAGGCTTTGTTTAGCTGAAACACTGGCAGTCTGCATGTAGCCAGGTTTGTACCATACGGGAACTCAGGAGATAGAGTTGTGTCTCCAGAAAAGGAAGGAAAAAAAAAAAAAAAAAAACCTTTATTTACTCAACCATACTTTGTAAAGTTAGAGCCTCAAAACACAAATCAGGTTAATCATGAAAAGTAAGAGACCATTTGAGTGCATTAGGTCCAGAACTGATTTTAAAACAAAAGCAAAAAACCATTTGGTCAATCTGGACCAGCATGAGAGCATTTCCAACTTTTGACATTGCAACACCCTGTTGCAATCTACAAAAGTCTGTGCTCAAGAAGCAAACCGTCAAGTATTAAAGGGGGGGGGGGATCAGGAAAGATGAGTTATTTCTAAAGTGCTGTGCAAGCATGAGGGCCTGATTTTGATACCCCCCCCCCAAAAAAAGGCCAAGTGGGATGCACAGTGCTTGCAATTCTAGTAGGGTACAGGCAGATCTCCCTGGCACTTGCTGACCAGCCAGCCTAGCCTACCTTGGTGAGCTCTAGGCCATAGAGACCTCCACCTAAAAATTCAAGTTAGATGACTCCTAAGGAACAATGCCTGAGATTGACCTCTGGCTGACACATATAACAACCACAGATGTACACACACACACACACTTTCGAGTTTTAATTACACTTACAATTTCATAAGGGGTAGCATTCCCAGCTGTCCTCAGCAGCAGGATGGTCACACTCAGGAGCAAACTGAACTCAACATTGGAAGATGTGTACGGGATGGCAGACAGCCCAGAACTGGTAAGACCAAGTTATAAACTGGTAGAGAATATATACCTGTCCGTCTCTGGCTGCTTTCTCCTCAAACAGAGGGCACTTGAAGTTACTGGAAAGTGAAGGCCACAGGATTGCATGCACTGTGGAGGAGGGCGGCAGGGGATCTGGGACTTTGTCACAGGGAAAGAAATGTAACCACACAGTCCTGGCCATAGGGTGCTTCAGCTCTTTTCTGTCCCTGCTGTATACCCTGAACAGGACAAAGCAACCAGTGTCCAAAGACAGGAACAAGGAAGTGGCTGGAGACCCAGCATTTGCTTTCAGGTCAGAAATGGCAAGGGTGGTAACCAGGAACTTAGGCCTTTGGGTAACCAGCCTCAAGAACACAGGTAGGTCATTTAACCACTGAATTTGCTTATCTAGAGGGGGAGGTGATGATTTAACTAGAAACATCCATATACTTTGCCCAGCAGTGTGCTGTCACTTTTAAAAATTTTTAAAAAACATGTATTCATCTATTATGTATGTATGTGAGTTTGTGTGTACCACATTCGTACAGGTGCCTGCAGAGACCAGAAGAGGACATTGGATTCCCTGGAACTGATTCCAGTTGGTTGTGAGCCGACTGATATGGGTGCTTAGAACCAAACTCAGGTCCTCCACAAGAGTAGTAAGTGCTCTTAACCACTGAGCCATCTCTCCAGGCTCCCAAGTCATGCTCTAAATCCAACATGTCATGTCACTCCCCAACGTCTGTGAGGTAGCCCCCCCACCCCCACCCCCGGCATTGCCCATGGTTCCACTATAATGTTACAAGTAGTCATCTGTACCAAAGGGCAGCACCCATGAGTGACCCTTCACTTACCAGCGCGGCCTCAATGGTGGGTGAGATCAAAGAAAAAGATGCTCAGAAGACTGACATTAGGAGAGCCAAGGCAGTTGAGAATCCTGCTGCTCAATGGTCTCTAGAGAGCCCTCCCCCTAGACTCCCAGGGTGCCGGCCCTGGTTGTATGACAGAGGCACCAAGTGTAAATGTGAGTGTGGTAACTTCCGTGGACACTCCAGTCTTCTCACCTGGACAGACAGCGGACACTATTTCCCTCTCCTGTGAGTCCCCTCTTAGATCATCATCACGTGGGTTGGAGTCCAACTCCTGCTCCAGGTGGCCCCTCTCTTCTGTGTCGCGTGGATTGGAGCCCATTCCTCTTTCTTCTGGGTCCCCTTCTCTGTCCTCAGAGTTCTCAAAGTCAGAACCCATACCTCTATCTTCGGAATTCTGGGGTTCACACACACCCTGATTATCTTCCTGTTCCATCCAGCAAGAAAAGGGCGAGGTAGCCCAGGATATCTGCTCAGGCAAAGCATGGAGAAAGAAAGGTTACATCAACCTGGATCTAACCCTTTACTACACATGGTCTTGATTTTCCCATCCAATAAAACAGCTGAACTGCAAGCGCCAACAATAAATCTACTTAACTCCCTACCACATGGACACTCAGGCTAAACAGCTGTGTGAAGGGGGACATTTGGCTGGAGGAGGAACAGTGGCCACATCCTAAGACCACATGCCAACACTCCTGGGACCAAAGATCCCAGATCAGGTCAGTCTGTGAAGTGTCTATAAAGTAAATGTCTGGGTGTGAGTTTACACCTCAACGTTGAAGTAAGCATTGCTTTTTTTTTTTTTTTAACCTTTGCTTTATTTATTTCTACAGTGCAGGGGATTGAACCTGGGACTGAAAGCACTCTACGACTGAGCAATCTCTCCAGCTACTTAGTTGTTATTTTTGGAACGAGGTCTCGCTGAGTTACCCAGGCTGGCCTTGAACTCATTCTGTATCGCCGGTAGGTCTTGAACTTCCCAACCTCTGCATCAGCCTCCTGAGTGGCTGGGGTTCCAGGACTGTGACATGCCTCTTTTCATTGTTTAAAATCCTTTCACGTTTATTTAGCTTCCTGACTCTGTGCTCATGCCTTCGACACGCTTTCACCATGAGGAAAGCAAGCTTGATCCACGGCTGACACATTTGGCACACATGCAATCACCACAGGCCCTGTCCACCTGAGCACACACTGAATGTTTTTCTACAACCTCCTTGGTATAAAGGTAAGCAATTCTCTTGCTAGGGATTTGAGGGTAGAAAAGGCTATGACGGCATATTAAACCCTAGACCACTCTGGATAGTTCTAAACACTGTCCCCAGAGGAGGAAAAAACAAAAACAAAATACTTTACAGCTGGGGGGGGGGGGTTAAAGCTGAAACGGAAAGAAAAGCCCTAATAACAATCCTAGTCTATGAAAACTCTAGTATAGACAGGAAGCCCATTTTGCTGTCTCAAACCCCCATGCTTTCCTCCTCTGCGTGAAGCCTGCCCTACACAAGCCTGTAACATTCCTCCAAGTAGTTAGCGAATTATTGGAGGGCCTTTATGGAGCCAGAAGGAAAGTACACTCAGTCCTCAAGAATAACAAACATCAGTATGGCAACTTCTTATCTAAGACGGTGTCCGCAAAGGCACATTCAGCCTGGCTTTGTGGCAAGGATCTGCTGTACCTCTAGGAGAAGTAAGCCAAGATGATTCAAGCTGCAGCAGCTTTGTTGGAAGCAAGAGGGCGAGATGCTAGGGCCCGCTGTGTCACAAGCCATCTCCACAGTCTAGCTACATACATTGCCATGTGTCCGTTACAGAACTTTAAAAGGAATGTGTACCAGGGACAACCTGGCAGCCCTTCTACCAAAAAGCCCAACAAATGAAATTACAGGGAGAAAACAACACCAGATTCTGAAGCTCTCTGTGGATATCAGGTTTGCATCTCAAACCCAAAGGGCCGCCTGTCAAGACTGGGCAATTGAGCCAGTAATAATTCTTTTCTGCTATCCGTCACGCTTGCAGCTTAGCCCAAGGAAGCAAAGCCACATCCAGGTCAAGGATCCTGGTCTGTGATTTGAAGGATACCACTTCAACCACTGCCTCAGCAATCCCAAACAGGACGGCAAGAGTAAAAGCCGATGATAGACTGGCTCCCTTGCATCAGGAGAAGTGGGAGGAGCAGTGGCTGGAGATGTGGTACAGTTTATAGAGTATTTGCCTGACATACACAACACAAACCTTGAGTTCAGTCCCAGGCACATAAAACCTGATGTGCCCATGCGTCACTGTGATGCCAGCACTCAGAAGTTGGAGGCAGGGGGATCAGACGCTCATACAGCGAGTCAGAAGGCAGCTGGGCTACATGAGAGACCCTGCCTCAAAAAAATAAAGGATAAAATATAAAGAGCAAAAAAAGGTATGGCGAGCAAGGATATTCCACCCTTGGCAAGGAGCCTTCCCTGCTCTACCGAGGCCCTTCCAGAGGCAACCCTGGCTTTGGCATGAAGAGCAGGAGTTATGGGTACAGGAAATCCCTCCACTGGGTCAGGCTGGCCCAAGGCAAGTCGATTAACCTCTCCTAGTTTCAGAGCCTCATCAGTGGAAAGAGGGTATTGCTACTTAACCTTTTCACAGGGAGGGTGTCAGAAGGAAACTAATTAAAAGGCACTTTGGGAAACACTGGAGAGAGTCATTAATGCTTTGAGTTTCACTGCTGGGAAATCTGTGCACTGTTCCTCTCAGCCATCTCAGCATACCTCTCACAGACACAGCGGCTGCGCTGTAACTTTGGTAGGCACACCAAACAGCATCTTAGATCTTTCTCAATAACGATGAGAGCGTAAAGATCGAGCCCTTCCCTTAAATGTCCTGGGGAAGCCACTGTGTCTGAACTCAGTCAACAGTATCCTGCAGGACAGGTGGGTTCCTTTGGAAGGTAGCTCAACTAGGCTGCCGAGTCTCCAACAGATGTTTTAGGATAGAAGAAAGGGATATTATTACAGCCATGAACCTTCTCAGAAGCGTATTCCACACGAGGCTTCTGTCCCCAGTCACACTGCCCAGCACTCTTTAGCCTTCTGAAGGTCAGTCGGACTGAATGGACAAGGACATCCCTAGAGTCTACGTACTCAATGCAGCTGAAGGTGGGGTGTGGAGAGGCAAGAGGAGGCTTGCAAATGTGGCGTGTTGGTTTGCTAGAAGGGGAAGGGTTTAAAAAGAGAATGGATCAATGTTTTCCAACAGTCTGAAGGCAGCAAGAGGAAAGGTATCAATCAGTAAGCACATCACCAGGAACTCCCCCAACTAAAGGCCGGTGACTGCAGCCCGCCTCGCTGAAGGCTGGAGCATGGCAGTCCAGCCTGGGAAGCAAGGGTACAGCTTTACCTCCAAACCCTTTAAATGGCAGCTTCTTGGAGCCAGAAGGCACTCTGACTGGTGACTTCCTGTACGCCCAGAGAACAGATCAAATGCAGTAGCACCGTTTTTCTAACTTTAAAGAGGGCCAGAATCCAAGTTCCCCCACTGAGGCCTGGCATCTGGATTCACAGTACTGCCACACTGAATCAAGACAGGCTCTGGGCTCCGAAAGGAATCCTTCCTGATCCTTACCTCCCAGGGAGGGAGGTTTAGGAATGCTCTGGAAAGGAAGAGAGCCTCTATGACCCAAAGAGGCCATGTTCACATTTTTGTTTTAAAATGCCTGTTATCGAGAGACTAGAAGTCTGTGCCTGCCGCCCCTCCACCGCCCCCACCCCCCCCCACCCCCACACACACACACCTGCAATAACACAGATTTCCTTCCACTGGCACCAGCTCATCCTAGATTGTAGGCAATGGTAGAAACTATGTAGAGGTAAGGATAGGTGGTCAGGATAGGTTAATTGGTTAAAAAGCTACAACTGGTTTTAAAATATCTTATTTTCATTAATATAGACACAGTAGCATATACCTTAACACATATGCGCAGGCTCAGGAAGGAAGGCCAGAAGATCATTATTAAAATGTCAACTGTTTCTGGGTCACTTCTCGGAGGCTTCTGGCTTTTAACTCTTGTCTTACCAAAATCCAATGATGGAGGAGGCTATTTCCAACTTCACAGACCAGAAACAAGAACAGAAGAGATTACACACGGTGAACGGCAGCACAGGACTGGACCTTCTCGGACAGCTTCTGGTGCTTTGGGACATGGTGGACAATTATGTATGCGTCTGCATTTCCTACAGTAAACATGTATTCTTTTTTGGACAAGGAAAGACAGCTACCTTTATTTTTGGTATGGTCAAATATGTTAAAGAAAAACCTACAATTGTTCTGGAAGCAACAGAAAGACAAGCAGAGCAGTTGTGATTCCATCATCCTGAGGACTTAATTTTCAGAAGTGCTGTCTACTCACTGTGGGGCAACCAATGCATCTATTCAGGCACATTTTGTTCCAACACCTTTCCTACTCATTCTCAAAAACTAGCAACATTTTTCTTTTAGGCTCAGCCAGGCTTGGATAATGAGTAGGCTGCGGCAGCAAGGCAGAGTGATGTCTTTGTAGCCAGACTGACCCACGCTTGAACTGTCTGCTCTTAACCGGCTCCTTGACTTTGTGTGAGTCACATGACCTTGTAGGAGCTCTAATTCTGCATCCACAAGAACAAGGATGCTGCCACTTACAATACAGGCTGAGAGCCTGTGAAATTACATTTGTTAACACTGATGACACATTAGGTGCAGAGTAAATAGACTTTATTATGACATTCCAGGTCAACGTCTTGATTTAAACAATTGCTCAGTAAACTAAGGTCACTATCCACAGCTGTGTTCCCTGGGAAAAAGCCTTTTTCCGCTTCGAGTAAAACTTCCCTTCCAGTCAAACAGCCTTGCCGCCGTTAATAAACAACTCACCCATGTGAAGACAGGAATCAAGGAGGGGGCGGTTGCTTAAGGGAGCTGGAAGCTGGGCAAAAAGTTGGTAGTTGCTAAACACCCATTGTAAGCAGAGAACATGGGTCTAAATCTGAGGGAGGAGTGAGCGTGTGGCTCAGCAAACCCCAGTTCACACCATGTCTAAGGGAGCCTGCTCCCCCGGGTTGGAACAGACAGAAGTCTGATCAGGGAAAGGAACAGAGTAAAGGGAAGGGTCTAGCAGGAAAAATTAATTCCACATTTAGTTCCAGTGGCTCCACAGAGGCAAAGGAGCGGCAAGTGCGGACGGACAGGGTTCAGGGTGCAGCCAGTACCGCCATGTGCTGTGTGTCCTCTCCTGGCTTCTTCCCAATAAGAATTTGAATGTTCGGGGTGGGGGCTGGTGAGGGTGGAGAGATGGCTCAGCCATTAAGAGCACCAGCCGCTCTTCTAGGAGACGCAGCTCACAACTGTCTGTAACTTCAGTTCTAGGGGATCCGACACCCTCACACAGACTTACATGCCATAAAAATAAATAAATCATTTTTAAAAAAGAAAAGGAAATAGAGTGTGCCTGAGTCCTTGATAAACAGGTGAGTTGATCCAGAAGGCACTAAGTCAGTTTTACTAGGCAATTTCAGCTCCACCTCATCACCTCACAGCACCCCAAACATGTCTCCACTACCACCTTTGTACTGCCTTTCTCTTAAAGACCGGGGAGGGGCTGGGCACGTCCCTGACACTGCTCACATCCAAGTTTCTAGAATTTATACATGTTCATGTCCTTTGCTCCTCCGCAATGGTCCCAACTTAAAAAGAACGTTTATACCCTTAAAGTAACCAGAAAAATGCTTGAGACAAACCCAACTTCATCTCACAGATGTCTGAAATGTCCAGTCAGTGCACCTGGAAGACGCTGCCGCAGAATGGAGGAGAATGTAACCCGATAACTTTTGGGTGTTCTGTTGTTATTAGTTAACAATATGGTCTCTAGCCCAGGCTGGCCTTGAACTTCCTGCATAGCCAAAAAAAAAATCCCTGAATTTCTGATCCTGAGATTACAGGCACTATCATGCCAGGCTTATACGGTGCTGAAGACCAAACCCAGGAGCTCAAGCATGCTTCACAAGCCCACAGTCGACTGAGGTGCATCCTCTGCCCACAAACTATCCCTTAAAAAAAGAAAGAGGAGAGGGATGGAGCAAGAGGGAGAGGAAGCCAGGAGCAAGGCAGAAATCAGACGTGGACCTGGGTTCACTGACATATTTAGCCCCCTCCAGAATTTCTGCAAATTATTCCTTTTCATCAAGCCCCTCCCACCCCCCACACCCCGCTTTTTAGATCAGCAGTCAGGCCCATACCACCCTCCCACCTTTCTGGATTTTCCAGAGAGAAACCAAGGCCAGAAATAGCACCAAATGACAAAGCCCTAGCAACTCCCACCCTCCAGTGGCGTCCAGAGCCCCACCCTGCCCTGCCACCGGTGGGACAGCATGGGCATGGTAGAGATCAGAAACCAGCTGACAGTCCCAGGCTGGAGGGCAGTGTCCCCTTTGAACAGACCTATGCAACTTACCGTACAGGTGGTCCAGTCCCTTTCCATTGACTCTAGCAACTATCAGGAAAGTGGGTGACTCATTCTGTGTGTCAGGAACACTGAGCACATGGTCCGTCCCCTAGGTAGAGTTAGGACTCACCTATCTCATGGCAAATGAAGGCGGCTGGCAAGACAGCCTTGTGACTCAGAAGAGACAGGCTAAACCTGGAACCTCCTGCCCACTCCCTCAGACCTTGGGTGGACAGGAGTCATGTGCTGAGGCCACTGCCAAGTGGCAGGCAGCCAGGCCAGCAGAGCGGTCTTGTCAGGGACAGGAAGTGGTTGCTGGGCAGAGGGCCAGGAGTGGCTCCATTCAGCAGCCTCCAGACTGAAGCACCTTTCCTGTCTCCTCCTCACCTCAGGGCCCCTTCCTTACCTCCTCAAGGGGGGAAGCCAGGGAGCCAGCAGCAGCGTCTAGAACCTTCTTCCTGCTGCTTCCCACTGCGCTGGCCAGTCTCTCCCCAGAAGATAGTCAAGACACTTGATTTGAAAGAAGCTGGCGGAACAACTCCAGCCAGAGGCTCAAAAGGTTGAATTCAGGACAATCAGCAAGGTCCAACTAGGGACTGCAGGGGTTAATCATTTGTCCATCTTCAGCAGCAACCAAGTAAAAGAGTAAACAGTCGAATTGCCTCTGGGGGCTATGTCTCAGAAACTTGCCTCCTTCCTGGCCAGCTCACAGTCAGGACCCAGGGCTAAGAGTTACCTCACTGGACAGGGGATGTCTCCGGTGAGCAAGGAGCAGCCGCTTTATCACCCTCCTCCTATATGTCACATCCAAAGAGGCCACCTGATTCTCCCCTTGGCTGGCTTGCATAGACGTGGACCACACAATCCCCAGTGCCAGCCTCCAAAGTGGCAGCCTGCTGCTGTGCAAGGTGAACCCGAGTTCCAGACAGAGAACATCAGCAAAAGATGACCGCAACCAAGTGCTGACCATTCTCCAGACAGGAGCCAGAATGATACGGTTTCTGCTCTGTGGTTCCTGCCTTTTCTCCTGGAGAGGGAAGCTCAAAGAAGAACACAGGTAGTGGGAGGCCCTGAGTTCAGTCTCTAGACACACACACACACACACACACACACACACACACACACATGAGAGAGAGAGAGAGAGAGAGAGAGAGAGAGAGAGAGAGAGAGAGAGAGAGAGAGAGAAGCAGACAGACAGGCAGACAGAAAGACAGCGAGAAACAGAACCAGAGAGACAAAGAGAAACAAAAAACCTGTCCTAGGGACCAGGTTTTCCGGTCTATGTCTGGGGCAGGCCCCCTCAGTTTGCACCACTTGACACACCTGTCAAACCTCCACCACGTGACCATCATCCAGCTCCTTGTAAACAAGAATTATTGCAACACAAAGACAGATCCTACGTGAAAATTAGATTTTCTACCTTCAAATGAGAAGTCACAAGCTGGACGTGCACAAAATAATTCCAGCATTTGAAAGGCTGCAGCAGGAGGCCAGTCTGGACTACATAGTGAGACCCTGACTCAAGATAAAACAGTCATAAAAGTTCAAGATGTTCATGCAGGCAACCTATTCATCCATATGTTCTGTTTTACTGATTAAAATAGTCTCCCTGCTATACGGGGATATATAATGTTTGTAATTTTCCTCCCTGGTGATTGGCATTTTATTATCTGCTGTTTGGTTTTTTTTGTTTTGTTTTTTGTTTGTTTTTTTTTTTTCTTATTTAGTAACAGAAACCCTGGGCTGTTCTCAGCAGACTCGTCTTCTCATGCCTGCTCAGCTGCTGAATTATCTATTCAATATATTTTTCATAGACTCATGGATCTTGAAAATCTCTTGAACTTTTATGAAAACAAACTGAGGTTGAGAGAGAGCAAATGCCTGGGCTAGAGACTAGCAAGCAGACAGTTAGAAGAGGTGTGTCTTAAATCTCAGCTTCCTGATGGTCCCTCCAATAATCTTGACATCCCTTTAACACAAAATACCGATTAAAAACAGACAGCTGGGCCCAGGTGCTGCAGCACACTCCAATGGTCTTGTCATGGAGAGGCTGAGGCAGGAGGATTGAGATTTTAGGTCAGACTACATAGCAAGACACCCCCATCTCCAAAAAAAAAAAAAAAAAGGAGATTCAAGATAAATCTATGACATACTCTGGCCCTCCAAAGTCCCACGCTATGTTCGTCAGGGTTTTTCCAGGGGAAACAGAAGCAGTAGGCTGTATGTATATTTAGAAGGAGATTTATAATAAAGAATTAGCTTTATGCAGCTCTGGAGGCTGACTGCTTCAAAAATCTGCCCTGGAGAGCAGACACCAAAAGCAAGCAGCTGTGAATATCCTCCTTGCTCCTGAAGATCAGGCTTTTGATCTACTCAGGCCTTTCACTGGCAGGAGGAGGCCCAACTCCATGGTAGATGCTGGTCTCCTTTACCCAAAGTCCACTGTCTTAAATGTTAACTGCATCCCAAACCACACGCATGGAGCGACTGCAAACAGAGTCTAACGGCATATATGTATGAAGATGCCATGATGAAACTTTGTGGGCTAACCTAAAAAAGAAAACTTAAAAATTGCATGTATTTCTTTATTCTCTCTCCCTCTCTCTCTCTGTCTCTCTCTCTCTCTGTCTCTGTCTCTGTCTCTCTCTCTCTCCCTCTCTCTCTCTCTCTGTGTCTGTGTGTGTGTGTGTGTGTGTGTGTGTGTGTGTGTGTGTGTGTGTGTGTGTGTGTGTGTGGTCAGAGGAAAACCTGTGAGATTGTGGGAGTGGGTTCTCTCCTTCCAACCATGAGGATGGAACTCAGGTCATCCAACTTGGCAGAAAGCATCTTGCTTGGCAGCAAGCACCCACTGAGTCATCTCAACAGCCCCTAAAAGGCCATCCTTACAGAAATGTCCATAAAAACGTGTGATAATGTATCCTGGACACCCTGTGGCCCAGACAAACTGACACATATGGTTAACTACCACAGGCCCTAGCTACAAAGCCATCTGACATAATCCCTTCACACTTCTAATCTACCTATAAAAGCCATCTGACATAATCCCTTCACACTTCTAATCTACCTATAAAAGCATTGTTTTTGTCACGGAAAACCACAATGCACCCTTGGGTGTGGTTTGTGTGTCATGTGATAAAAAGGACAGGGAGGGAGACTCAAGATTAATCTTAAAGATCCTCAGACAGGCCTGGTAGTACAGGCCTGTAAGCCCAACATGAGAGAGGCTGAGGTAAAAGAACATGGCCAACTTGGGTTATATAGCAAGAGCCAAGCTAGGCAGAACCATGGAGCAGGACTTGGTTGCGAAACTAACAAAAATCCTCAAAGTAGGGGACAGCTTCCTAGACATGCATGGTGTACGAAGCAGAGAGAGGCACAGTTTAATAAATAACTTTGCTCAGGGCAGAGCAGCCTTGGAATGCAGGAGGTGTGTGTCCGATGAGACTTGCTCATCAACAGCCTTGTTCTGGAAGTACTGGTGCTGGGGGTTCCATGTTAAGGTTTCTGGGTGAGGCCAGGTGACCTCAGCAAGTCTTTCCCAATCCAGATGATTCTGTGATCCTGTTTCCCCTGGAATGAGCAGTTATGGGAGAAGTGTTCTTCACAGTAAAGAAGGGAAGGTGGGTAGACATTCTGTCACTCAGCTTCCCATGCAGATTCAACAGGAAAAACTGCCATTCCACTCCACTGCCCAAAATAACTGCGCGGTGTCGCTGATGAGGAATGGCTGTCGTTTTCCGGCTGGGTGCCTTTCAGCTGGGTCAGTGACACCTCTATGTATAATCAGCCAGGGGAGTGTCCAACCCATGGGAAACAGAGAGAAAACACAACGCTCTGTGATGCCTAAATGCTCCTGCCTCATCAAGTCTTAACACTCCACAGCTAGACTGTTTAAACTCAAAGTAAAAACCCTTGCATACACTGGGAAACAATTCTAAAAACATGACTCACTTTTACTTTTATTTCCTTAAAGTTATCAGAGTCCACAAAACCCAGATCATAAAAAACTGCAAAAGACACACGATCCAGTTTCTTTACCAAGACAACAGTGACAAAAACAGCAAAGAAAAGATAATAAAAAGCAGAAAGGAGGAATTCCAAAGGTCAAAAACTTAAGTAATATATCAACCAACCTCCACATACATTCCTTACAGAACCCCAACTCAATTAACAAGCAACAAAAACAAGTTCTAAGTGGTTGGATGAGTTACGTGAAGAGACAGGGGCATTAAAAATCAAGGCCAGTGAGCGGTGGTGGTGCACGCCTTTAATTCCAGCACTCGGGGGAGAGGGCATAGGCAGGTGGATCTCTGAGAGTTCGAGGCCAACTTGGTCTACAGAGATAGTTCTGGACAGCTAGGGCTGCACAGAGAAACCCTGTCTTGAAAAACAAGAACAAAAATTCAAGGCCAGCCTGATCTCCACCGTGAAACACTCTCAAAAACCAAAACCAAAACAAATTATGAGACAACTAAGGAACTGTGAATGCTCATTAGGTATTTGATATCAAGAACCATTCATTTTTCACGATGCTGGTATTTGGATATGTTTACAGAGTTCTTTATCTTCAATATATGAAGTATTTACAGATGAGATAATGCATCTGGAATTTGCTTCAACACACACAGTTCCAAGGCAAAGAGGATTAGGCAGGGGTGCGGACGAACAGCATCGGCCATGTATCAGCCACTGGTAAAATATTATCTAAGTTTGTTACACTATTCTACCTACCTTTGTATTTGTTAGAAAGAAAACCTGCTTATACCCATAGGTTAGTGCTGCTGCTGACTGTGGCCAGGGAAGCTTCTCTCTCCAGTGGGCAGCCGTTAATACAGACTCATAATTGACCATAGTGCTGAGCAGGTGTCTACTGAGTGTCTGCCCTAAATGGGATACCTGTATCAAGCCCCGCCCATCAAGGCTCAGGGAACACTGAAGAAGAAGGGTGGAAAACAAGAACCAGAGGATGTGGGGGAGAGCTGTGAAATGCTGTCTCAGGTCATGACCTGGCCCTTGCCCTCATGAACCCACTGCAGTTACGGTTACTTGTACAAGACCAAGTTAACAAGACCAGTCAGCATCCCCAATGGGCAGCACCAAGTGGACCCGGTTGGTTATTAACCAAAAAGAGAGGACAAGAAGGGGAGAGGGAAGAGGTGGGGGTTCCTGGAGGAGTAGAAGGGGAAGTTGGGGTGCCTATGATCAAGATGCATTTTCTTTACATGTATGAAACTGTCAAAAAATACATAAAAGATACTCTATCATAAAAGGAAACAGACCATTTTTCTGACACTGAGATAGGGTTATAGTCATTCAAATTAAGAGCCAAACATAATAAAATGTCAGAGATTTCCACGAAAGGAATGGTCTGTTCCTAAACATTGTGGCAAATCAGTAGTGACCATTATGCTTGCTATTGAACAGAGCTCTGGGAACTGAGGCATGGGGACAGCGAAGGAAAGAGACTAGGAGGAAAAGAGTCTGACGCTTTTTGACCTCTTTCGTGAGATATACAAATTGGTATTGTTGGGCTGGAGAGATGGCTCCGAGGTTATTGGCACTCGTTGCTCTTTCAGAGGACCCTACTTCAGTTCCTAGCACCCATGTCGGGCTGCTCACCACCACTTATAACTTCAGCACCAATGGAATCAGCACCCACTTCTGACCTCTGCAGGCATCCGGACACACGTCATAACAGCATACGCGTAGATACACAAATAAAAATTTTAAAAACTAAAAAAAAAATTTTAATAGCTGTTGTGTACAAAAGAGTACTGGGACCCTGTTCCTACTTTCAGCTACATTTACATCATTCAACAATCCAGAGAAGAATGCTGTCAGCTCAGAGCTTACTACTTCTACCACGCACTCAGCAACTCTGTACTCAAAACCAATGGAGGGGGGGGGAAGTTGGGAGGGGCAGGTAGGGGGGGCAGGGGCGTTAAACTGGGTTATGAGTACAGATGACAGTTCTGCAAAGAGATTGCTTTAGCCCTGAGACCGTCAAACTGATGCTCCAATGTGAGTGTCCAACAGAGGAAGTCCATCAATAATTGGTCGTCTCCAGAATGATCTTCTAAGTGGATGGTAAAGGCATACATAGAAGAAAAGAAAATTTACAGAAGCAGTTTGTGAAAAACAGGATCTCCATGAGACAAACCCTAGTAGGGCACATTTACTTTACTAGCTAAACCTGGGGGTTTTGTTGGTCTTCTTTCTGAGACTCTCACTATGTAGCCCAGGCTAGCCTCAAACTCTTGACTCCCCTGATTCTGCCTCTCGGGTGCCAGAATTAGAGGTGTGCACCACCGTGCCTGACTCCGGGGGAACTTTTCATGTCCTCCTTGGAGACACTTAGGAGCTATGAACCAGACTGAATCCTTCTGTGTCACAAACAAAGCGGTTGGAAAGTATGTCCCCACTGTAGACAGCGAAAGCTCACAGTTTCTGGTGCGAAGATGCACTCACAGGACTCGGCTCTCCTCCAGGAAGTGATGCATCTGTCTCGGAGTGTTCAGGGCTCATTCACAACTCGAACACCACAGTTACTAATTCATTCAGCAGGCTCTGTCTGCCTGGGTTCCTCATGTTCTACTACCCCGGCTCTTTGTATTCCAGAGGGGAGCAACAGCACTACACAAACTCATAAACATGGTAACGGCTTTTATTCTTGGGCATTGTTTAGAAACCCTCCAAGTCCACCAGAGTCCATGAGTCCCCTGTAGATACTTTCATCTAGTGAAAAGGCCCACAGCTTTTCCTGGGACTCTGAAAGGATGCATGGAACAAAAGCAAAACAAAATAAAACCCTCTTATAAGCCACCACCACTACTCCAAAACCCTCCTAATACATTTCTTATCTTTAAAATATTTCAGAAATGGGCAAGGGTGGTGTGGAGAAGAGGGGGAACAATTTTACCATGATGTTCAGCAAGATGTTTGGTTGGGCTAGTGGAAAAGGGAAAATAATAGCAGCTAATCCAAATCCAGACAGTTACAGCCAAAAATACCAGCAGGTTCAAATGGGCTAGAGAAAGAAGAGTCAAGGAAGTGTGAACTGCCTGAGCACTCCCAGAAACCTCAGCTAGCAGCCTGTGGTGTCTTAGCCAGACAATGGAGATCCAGAGGCTGAGTGAATTGTCCGGGAACACACAACCGACGAGCAGGCAGGAGCCTAAATGCCTGGCACATCAACTTTGGCTCCAATCACCCTTGAATCTCCACCAATGTCACCAGTGTTCCCTGGCTAATCGCAGTGGGGAAGTGAGCCTTCCAGCACCACTGACGTGCCCGCTTTTCACCTCCTAATCACTTTTGAGTAACAGGTGCCCTCCGAGAAGAAAGCTGCTCCCCGCATCCCTAACTGACTACCTCTCTGGGATAAACCAAATTTACAGATGTGGCCCTGGAATGTGTAGCTTCTGTTAGCTGCTGACAGTGAGTCAGATAACATGGATCAACTCATAGTCTACCCAGCACATAGATGCCTTAGATAGGTAATCTCCGTCCTTGTCATAGGAAAAGGAATTAAAATCTTGCCAACGTCACCAACTCATTCCGCACAAATCATCTTACCTGCAAATGACATCCTGAGATACCTGGTCAAGAGGGAGATTGTTTTTTAAATACTTATTTTTATTATTCTTTAATTATGTGCATACGTGTGTCTGGGGGTGGGTATGTACAGGTGCCCATGGAATTTAGAAGAAGGAGGCGGATCCCCTAAAGCTGGAGTTACAGGCAGCTGTGAGCGAGCCACCCAGTGAGGGTGCTGGAAACCCAACTCAGGTTTTCTGCAAGAACTGTAAGACCTCTTAACCACTGAACAATCGCTCCAGCCCCTAGAGGGGGGTTCTAAGAACTACACAAAACCCTTCAAGATAGCAAGACCATAAACTAGAAAATACACCAGATCAAGAATTGAGTTCGTCCAATCTGCAATGAACAAGTCTTTGGATTCACCTCGGATTCATGGCATCTTTTTGCTTCCATTTTAATAGCAAGCTCCTCCCAATCTGGGAGGTTCCGGAGCAGTAAGTAAGTGGGCAAGGGCAGATGGCCACACACTAGATTCTGCCAAAGAGACTATACTCATTGGTAATGAGAAAGCCTGCCACATTTCCTACATTTAAAAGAGAGAAAAAAAAAAAAAAACATTATTTCCCAGGGAAAAAAAGGGAGGCCCAACAAAGAAACTTCTTGGTTTGAACACACAAAGGTAGTGAGTGGGTAGGTGAGGCACTGAGACAGCCACCCAGAGTCACCTGGTTCTTTCACAATCTCTTTTGCATCGGATTCTCTCCTGACCCCCGTCGGTCATCTTCACGGTTTGGTACTCTAGCTGCAGTCACCACATTTTGTGGGCAACACCTTTGTTCTTTCTATTTTCATGTTCTCTTCCAGACTTCTGCCAACTTCTATTTTTATGTTCCTATTATAATCATGATTAACTTTTTGTTGTTGTTGTTGTTTTGAGCCAGGGCTTCTCTGTGTAGTTTTGGTGCCTGTCCTAGATCTCATTTTGTAGACCAAACTGGCCTCACAAAGATCCACCTGCCTCTGCCTCCTGAGTGTTGGGATTAAAGGCGTGTGCCACCACCATCCGGCTTAACTTCCTATTTATTAAAACAGGAAATAATTTTAAATGTTTCATAAGAACCTCTAAAACGGGCTCTGACAAACCCTTAGGTTTTGGATTATCAACACTCAAGAAACAAGTCTTGTTGACTGTTAAGCTGTTTGAATTGACATTGACTTACAGAAGTATTACGGTAAACTCTAAGTCCTTTGTGTAATGTGTGACAGAAAAGTTGGGGGGTTGGAATATAACCATAGAGAGAATAGATCTGTAAACAGTGCTGGCTAGGCCATCTTAGATCATATCTCTCTCCCCTCACCCCATCCCCGCCTGCTTCAATGCTGGTGATTGAACCCAGGCCTTCAACCATGCTAGGCAAGCGTCCCCAACACTGAGCTGCACACACAGCCCCATCCAAAAGAACCTTTCAGCCATTCTTCCATTCAAACTATGAACTCTTCTCATTAGAAGGGGGCTGAGAACTTCCTAATTCCGCAGTATCATTTACCAAAAACCAGTCATCAAACTTCACTGCACATCTTCCTAAAGCATCTTCTTTTTTTCCAAAAACAAATCTTGCACACTACCCACTGGGAGATGAAGCAACATTACCAAGGCACGTGTTCACAGCTAGCATCACTACCACGCACCCTAGTTCCCCAGATGGAGCTTGGGTGTTCAGGTGTGAGCTGGCTTGGCACATGGCAGCAATTGCTAGCACCGAGTGGGCAGGCTCACAAGGACAGCAGCTTTGTTCTGCTGTCTTCCAGATGCAGTGGGGTCTTGCCCTTCCATCTCACCAGCAGCACGAAGTGCTTGCCTTGGAACCAGGACTCAATATCCGGCCTCTGGTTTCCTGCTGAATTCTACCTGGAAATTCTTCCTTTGTGGCGTCTGTGAAGCTGCACTGCCCTCACTATCCCCACGCCTCACTCTCCACCCACCTGCTCTTCTGTAGTGGGTAGCCATTCCAGCTTTGATCTGGAAGTTCCAACACCCATTGAGGCTTTGGTAACTGTCACGCCTACAAGGCGGGGCCGAGAGAGGACCCCTGAAGACCTGAGATCCGGATGTGCCGGCTCTCTTGGTTCCTGGACCCTGGATGCAGGAGGTAGACGGAGCAGAGTTCTCCAGAAAACACCGCCGGACTGCGCTACACCTTTCCCAGACCCTGTTACCTATCCCTTCACTTGTAAGCTACCCCACAAAATAAACCTCCCTTTTAACTACGCGGAGTGGCCTTAATATTTCACCAATACTCTTCTTAATTCCTAACATGCCACAGCAACCTTTGATGGTGTTTCCTATATTTTCTGCAGTCACTCGGCCCAATCAGTTCATTTCTTCCCCCAGTTGTAAATCACGGATGGCACAGATGTGGGTCTTTCACTCCAAACCCTGTCCTGCCCTACACAGCCATGCCTTAACCATGCTCTTGTGTTATAGCTAAGGGACCTGAAGCACCTTCCAGTCCAGAAGTGCTGCCTAACATGGCCCATGTGCTGGAGAAATCACGAGCTGAGGAATCAACAGGCCTGGGTTCACACTGTAAGCCCTGGGACAGTGGGACAGTTACTATTTCATGCCTTTAAGACTCGGTCCCCTCTTCTACACAACATGCAAAAAGAATTTAAATGGAGTTATGGACTTAACATATAATGGGGGAGACAACGCCCCTACTAAACGTTCTATCGTACCACATAGAAACCCCAGGTTCAGGAATTGGTTATATCTTGTTGAGTTGTTGGCAAAGGGGCCTCATAAACCTACCAAACAAACCAAATAAAGCTACTACCAATGCTATTGGATAGCCTCCACAACCTGTAGGCACCACTTACTAAAGTCATCAAACATGAAGAAATTGAGCTGGTGCCATATTAGAAGCTTTATCCCTGCTGACTAACATTCATCATGCTAGAAGGTACTACACAAGTTACCAGAGGAGAAAAGTAATCATCAAACTCACCCAGCTGTATGAATCTCATGACTTACAATAGGGACCTGTCAGCAAGATATACTGATGTACTAGTGGTGCAAATGATATGGGAGTCACCAGCCACCTTTTTAAAAACTGAATTTAAGGCCCACTCTATGAGATGGAATACACATCTGATTCTATTAATATCCTCTGACTCTTGGCTTGTGGAGGCCAAGAACATGAGACTAGACAGGTCATGAGCCCTAGGGGAAAACATACTATTATTCTGCTAAAGGAACAGAGCAGTAAAATGACTCTTGATGACATCCTGCTATACACATTGATCAGGGTATCACTCAGTGCTTATTAGAGAAGGCTCTTCTTGCAGTAGATGGGCATTAACACAGAAACCCATAACTGAGCAATGTGCAAAGAGTAAGCACTCAGCTCTAAATGGGATGTCTATCAAATGCCTCCCCTCAAGGCTCAGTGACCTATAGAGAAGCAGAGTTAGAAAGAGTGTATGAGCCAGGGGTGATGGATTACTCCAATGAAACGGTGTCTCTAGATACAACAGAGCCAATACACATGAAGTCACAAGGACAAGGATGGCATGCACAAGGCCTGCAGAGGTTGAAACCAGACAAAATCCCAGCACTGAGAAGGGGAAGTGGTACAAATTCCCATCCCTAACCAAGAAGTCATTTGAAATTGATACCTACTGGGAAAGGGAAAACCAGTTTTCTCCAATGGAGTGAAACTAGATATGTCAACCATAGTTCAAGGCAGGCCCCCCTTGCCCAGAAGTAGATAACCAACACAAAATAGACTTTTTTCCTATGTGCTTTTTTTCCTCTTGTGTGTGTGTATACATGTGTATGGTTGTTATGGTTTGTTGGGGTTTTTGTTTGTTTTCATGTTTTTTGTGTGTTATATGTTTTTCTTTTGAGGGAGAGAAGTTAAGAGACGAGGGAGGTGGGGGGAGCTGGGCAGATTTGGGGGAAGAGAAAGATGGTGATCAAAATATATTGTATAAATGTTTTCATGAAAAACAGTCACCTTGAAAAGTGGTTATAAAGACTAAATTAATTTCCATTTTGTAATTCACATATCTAGGCTGGGTCGTATCAGAAAGCACTTCTGGAAGCCTTGTTAGCCGGCTCCTCCTGACAGAGCTGCTTCTGTCAAAGCTGCCTTTGTTCTCACCGGGCAGCCTCAAAACCTGGAGGAGCCAACTCTCACCATCCCTAATGCCCTTCAATCAAATCAGCT